TTTTTTTTTTAGGGGAGGGTGGGGAGCTACGGCCGGGAGGGCACAGCGAGGTCTGGAATGCCCAAATCGACCCTCTTTTCCCATGGATCGTTTCCCAAGGGTGGGAAATAGGGACCCCCAGTGCTCCAGCCCCACTCCCGCCAGGGCTCTGGGGTGCTGTTCCCCCCAGCTGAGTTCGGGGTTGGGGGTCCTGGGGTCCCCACAGTGAGCAGGGATGGGGGGTCCTCCCAGAAGCTGGATCTTCCCTGATCCCCCTCCACTTACATCCCAGTGTACCCAAAGGTCCCTCCTCATGCATCCCAACATTCCCAGAGCCGCAGCCTTCCCTAAAATCCCTCTCCCTGCATTCCATGCAACGAGCTTATCCAGTCTCAGCTTCCAGGATGTCAATCCCAAAGCCCCACAATCCAGCAGCACCCAGCAGGATCAGCACTTCCCCTCTCAGACTGGAAAACGAGGACAAGGACCAGTCCACACCAGCGGCACCAGCACAGGGAAGGATTTAGGAACCCAAGAGCCAAGAAATAGCGGTGACACGTTTCTGGAAACAACCCCAAAAGGGGGATGGAGCTGCAGGGCGAGGCCGGGAGCAGGGCAGGATGCCCGCTTGGGATCAGGGCTGTGCCCTCGGGAGATCACACCCCCAGAGAGCCCCAGGGGCAGCTCAGCCCCCGGGGGGAGTGTGTCCCATGTCCTCGGGCTCCCGGTGACTCATGTGCCACTGTCACCACCCTGTGTCCCCCCTCCGCTCACACTCAGCCCCGGGGCTTCTTGTGGATCATGGGAGGAACAGTCTTGGCAGCAGCCAGGGAATGGCTCCTCCTTGGGAATGTTTGGCAGGGCCTGAAACCCGGGGGGGGGGATACAACTGGGGGGGGAGTGGGATAAAAACAGGGGGATGGTGACATAAAATAGGGGGAAAGGGATAAAAGCAGGGCTGACAATGGGATACAGCTGGAGGGAAGATGGGATGTAACTGGGAATGACGGGATAAAACCAGAGGGGGTGACAGGATAAAACTGGGGTGACAGTGGGGTAACACCAGGGGAGAAGGGGATGATGGAAGTGCCCCTCCCTCCTCACAGCTTCCCAAATCCCTCCCATCTCCAGGCCCTGCTCTGACACCTCCTCATGGTGCTGAATGAACAAGGAAAGGGCAGATGGTTCCAGTACAGCCCCGGGAAGCACAGAGCCATCCTCTCCCTCCTCTCCCAGCCCAACAGCTTCACCCCCAGCTAAGACCATCCCCAAAACCACAGGAAAACCAGCTGTGAGCAACCCCAACCCAAGATCCAATAGCTCATTCCCCTCCTGAGGAAAGGGATGTGGCAGGGACTCAGCAGAGTGGGATTCATCCCAAATCCCTCCTCTGAACATCCCTGTCTCTGGGATGAGTGTCCCGGGCTCCGAGGGCGGCCACCACCCCTCAGCTGGTGACAAACAGGCAGAGCCTCGTCCCCAGTCCAGGGACCCCCTTGGTTCCCAAATCCTTTATTTGCCAGCGGGCGGCCGCTGCTTTCCGTACAAAACCAACAAATCTGGTAAAAAGGAGCTCGGAAAAGCTGCCAGGGAGAGAGAAAGGGGAGGAGGTGGAGGGAAAGTGAGGAAAACCAACAACACTATAAAAAAAAAACAGGAGGGGAAAGTGGAGGGGGCAAGGACGGAGGGGAGGGACACCCCCAGTCCCCCCCAGGAGTGGGAATGTTGGTCCGAGGGGGCCGGGAAGGTCGAGGATGGAGACAGAGGGTCCCGAGCGGGGTGGGGGGGCTGCCCCCCTTCTCAGGGCAGAGGTCCCCGCAGGGGCCCACGGGGGGGCACCCCGGGGGGTCTCTGTGCCGGCCGTGGGGGCAGCGGGACCCTCTGGTATCCGTAGGGGGGGGGCCGGGGGGGCCCGTTGTAGCCGTGGGGCGGCATCAGCGGGGGGGGCCCGCGGAGCCCGTGGTGCGGCAGCGGCCCGGGGTGACCTGTGGGACAGACGGGGGGTCAGCGCCCGGGGGGGGACGGGCAGTGCCCCCCAAAACCCCCCAACCCACCCCAGGAGTTCCAGGGACAGCGGGTGCCCCCCAAACTCCCCACACCCCCCACCGTGGGTGCCCCCCAAACCCCCCTGTGGGTGCCACATCCAGCAGGTGCCCCCCAACCTCTCCCATGGGTGCCCCCCCAAGCCCTCCCTGCCCCGTGGGTTCCCCAGATCCCCCCCGGAGCAGATCCCACTCACCCATGGGTGATCCGAAGTGCGGCCCCCGGGGTGGGAGCCCCATTGGGGGGGGTCCTGGGTGGGGCATTCCCGGGGGGGGCCGGGGGGGTGGCTGCCCTCCGGAGCCCGGGGGTCCCGGGTGGTGCTGGCCCATCCCGGGAGGTCCGTGGTGCACCTGCATCGGCGGCATTCCTGGGGGGACAACGGAGTCAGGGGTGCAGGGAAGCAGGGAAGCAGCTCCCGGCACCCCCAAGGGGGTTGGAATTCCAGCTGGGTCCGGGCAGCAAGGGATGCAGAGGAGCTTCTGTTGCCAAAAAGGGGGTTAAAAAGGAAGGAACACGGAGCCGACAGCAAGAGGAAAGGGCTTGGATGCAAGTGTGTGGGAAAAGAGATGGAACAGAAAATGTGTGTGGGAAAAGAGATGGGATCCTGAGTGTGTGCAACCCTGGGACAGCGAGGAATCACCATCCTTGGAGATTTTGGACAAGCTCCCAGAGCAAACTGGTGCTGGAGCCCGCCCTGCCCTGACTGAGGAAGCCAGGATCCCCCCCAAAACCTGCTTTTTCTCAATTATCCCATTTTATCCCGTTGAAAAAAAGTCCAACAAACTGATTCCTTCCTCCCCCTGGGAAGCTCCAGCGCCCGGTTTTCCCTCTCCGGGTGTAATTGGCTCCGCTCAGGCCCCGCCACCATCTGCTCCCAGCACAGCCAGGGAGGATCACACAAAGCTCCCTAATCAGGGCAGCTCCGGAGCCACAGGATCAAACAAATCCCAGAGAATCATTAAATTGCACATTTCACAAAATTTGGGCTTTTGAACCCGGAGCTGAGGCGCAGCCGCGGCTCCTTCCCGGGGCCACGGGGCCAAAATGGAATCAGGGAAACGACTTGTTTCCTTGAATTATTAATCCCTAAATTAGCTCCTGCCTTCCTTCCCTG